CCCTTTTTGTGCTTCGCACACGGGAGTCAAAAACGAACATTTGATATGATCAGTCATTTGCTGGTTTAGTTCACACAGCACAGGGACTGGTGATGCCATGGTTCGTGGGACTTTGTTGACAGTACGCAAATCTTGCAAACAGTAATGACATGACATCCAAGTTACTAGTATATCAAAGACAGACAATCAGAAAATTTACGTAAAATATAGAGGAAAAAAGGTATATTTGCTGGATTTTATTTTCACTGAATTATTCCTTCAGCGAAAATAGCGAAAATTAATTCCAAGCGAAAATATAGTATTTCACCGTATACAATTTTAAATCTTTTTTATTCGGACCACTACAAATTAATATGATACATTTAATAATGAGTTTTTTAAAATCAACCAGGTAAGCATATTAAGAGATACAAATTAGTATTTTTATGGTACACATTATTGATGAAGCTCTCACCTGTTTTCCAGATGTATTCTGATACTTGATCTTCCTGTGCATAGACGAATAAACCACTGTGCCATCTCCATGATGTGAGTGAGCAGAGACAAAGTAGCGTCTTCAGCATCACAGCCATTGTAAGTCTAATCTAATTTTTCACACTTCACTTTTTCAAACATACATAATATATGCGATCATAGATTCTCCTCAGCATAAAAAAAATCTGGCAGCTAACTTTATCAATAAAAAACCCTAAGAGAAAAAACAAATCTTATGATGAGAAGATATTGGAATAAAAATCTAAATATAAAGAAACTGCAAAATAGATCGCACGATGTGAAGAAATTGGAAATAAATCTTAAAATGTGAACGACAAGCAGCCTATCAGCTGAGATAGCTCCGCTGTTAGCAATGCACATTTCAATTAAAGAACTGAAGACATCATTAGAAAATGAACAATATGTATAGTATCAAAGCAATCGAACTTACAGTTTTTAACAAGAAGTCGAAAATATCACTTTCTACCAAAAATGACAAAAATATTCACCAAAATTAGAGAATTTAAGATATCATCACAAAATGAACA